ATATATATATATAATCGTTCAGTCTTAATGAGATCATCAGATCAATCCAGCCTGGTCAGCAGCTGAAAACCTTTTTCTTGCTTCCAGCTGTTTATACGAGTCTTTCCTTTGAGTTTTTAAAACATCTGTAGCTTTATAGCTTTAACCGTACAGCATCAGGAACCATACGAGCAACTCCAAACACAGCGGTAATCTTCTTAATCGTGTATTATTTTTCCTGACACAGAGATCAGATTGAACAGGACCCAAGAGTAAAAGTTTAGACATTTAATATTTGTACTGGGTTTTCATGAATGTACGTGTTTGTTTTTCTTGTGTCCTGCTTCCTTCTGAGCTGTCACAATATCAGTCCTTCGCTTATCATAATCCAAGGACTTTATGTTCACAATATTGGAAATTTGAGTTATAATAATAATAATTTTAGAGTCAACTTTACTTTGTTTATTGTGTACTTTTTTTCTTCTTTCTGGCAAATGATGACACTCTAAATATGAGACTCTGTAACCAAACCTTTAAAAAAATAACAATTACATAGTTTTGTTATAATGATATCAATCCTAGCATCAGGTTTTCAGAGACAAATCCCACTGAGCTGCATCGATTTTTAGTGTCTTTGCCTAAAACAGCAGCTGCACGGGTTGATAGTACATTTTTAAGACTTTAAAATTAAGCCAAGAACACACTTCACTCACCGCACAGCCCCTTCTTTGTCTATTAATTTAACGCATTTCTATTTTTCCTTTTGAATATACACAGTGATATACGAGTTCCACCTCTTGGCAGCACGCTATGGCCTCTGTACTGACCCTCCTTGTAACGGGCTGAAGTGGGTGTAAATCCCAGCAGATAAGGTCTGCACTAATACCCAACACTGTATACATTTTTGAACAGCAGTCCAATGTAAACATGTTAATGAAGAGTGACTGCAGGGGAGGCATCCTGGCTCAGTGTGAATCTATAACATTAAACCAAATAGATGGAGTGAAATCATTGCAGGCTCTGCCTGACCAGAGCCAGTAAAGGGTCCAGTAACGTGATTTTAAAGACACAACTGACAACAGATCACGTCTAAACTCAGCGTAGGTTCAGTAAACCAGCCAGGATCCACATTTCAGATCCTGGGGGCCACCTAAAGTGCAGTTTTGAATAAAAGCCAGACCTGGGTGTTTGGAAACTCACCCGAGAGTCTGTTTCTCTGTGAGGGAGGGCGGGAGGGAATTTAGCGTTAATTAGTCTGTTTTTGTGCAACTGTCATTATCTGAAATTTACAGGAAGCTGTGGTTTTGGTTTCCTATAAACAAACAAAAGAATTATCTAATTAGCTAATAGGAGCCAAAGGGAATTAATAAGAAAACAAGTTGCTGTTTGATATTCAGAGAATGATCCAACAGCTGGCAAACATAAAGTTTACCATCACAGGAAGCAGACTGAGCGGATTCTTCTAATGAAGTCCTGTAAAATACTCCAATTATCTGAAGGTCTTTTGACCATTTAGAGATGGAACAATAGAATGGATACCAGACAACAATGACATAACCGACTTTATACCGAAACCAGGTGGAGGATGCAAAGAGGAAAAAATAGGGTACTGTCTTTCTCCTCATTTATCCTCATCATACCTTTAAACAGTGTGTTATGTTAGAGATTGCTTTAGATCATTTTCTTGGAGCGTATCTTTTGACTTTAATTTCCTGTTTCCTCATCTCTATCTCCTTACTTTAGTTTTTTTTTTTTTTTTTTTAAATCTTATGTCAATTAAATTTTATTGTGACTGGTATCTGACGAGTTAAACCTTGTTGCCTGGTTTTAGGGAGGGCGAGCTTCATCTCACCTCCTCAGTGGGTCCCCCGGCCGCCATCACGTAAGTGACACGGAATTGGTCCACGGGACCGTCGGGTGGAGTCCAGGTAGCGCGGAAAGAGCTCTGTGTCACCTCCGAGGTCACCAGGTTGGTGGGCGCCGCCACTGACTCATCATCTGAAAAGAAACAAACGGCACAGATATTGGGATCCACAAATCTGCCCTCGCTCCTCTAACAGTAAAGCTCCGGGCCGGCTGGTTCGTTTAAAAACTGGTTTTCTCCGGCTCAGCTGTAAATTGTTTCCTCTTAAAATTGATTTACACACATAAAGTACGTCCACTACGAAAGTTTCCATCAGATGCTTGGATGTGTCGCAACGTCCTTTGAAGGTCTGAAATAATTGAGACTGTCAGGCAGAGCTGAGTCAAATATATCTACAAATTTATCATTTTTTCTTTTATCTTTCAGCCAAGTCTGGATAATGTTGATGTGTGGATAATAAAACACTCAAAGTAATCTCTACTCTCTACTTGTCAGCAGCCATTAGTTTCATCTCTCAAGCTGTACCAATGAAGAGAATGTCTTTGATTTAGACTAAAAGTTTTTGTCAACAGGCTCAGGTTCCTGTAAAACCTGCTGAAAGCCTGTGGGAAAATAAAAAACAATGTCTGATTGTCCATGTTTAAAACTGTTTGTTTTTTTAAACTGTGATGTTTCCACCACCACAGTAATTTTAAAGAATAGTTTGTACAAAGAGCTGTGAGCTGCTATTTACTTGTGAAAATGTACAGAGCTTTAAATCTTTAGCTAAAGCGTACCATATCGCCATGTTCTGCGGCATTTTCATGAGCAGGAATAAGAAGTTTATGATGAAATTGTGATATTTAAATCACACTGCTTTGGACTTTCTGCTTCATTTGTTTTAAATTCTGCCAATGCATACTGTATGTGTTTGCCTTGTCATACCAAGCCGCATTTCCACTAGTGTCCACTTGAGGCAGATTTAGACTGAAAGTCAGTCCCTATAGACTGCCATGATAAAATGTCCAACTTTACAGCAGAAATAAAGAGATTCACAGACCGATACAAAAAACACCCCAGCTTTGGCCTGTGGATGTTTTTCCCTTTCGTAACACCTGTACAGGTGGTGAACAGAATAGAAAAGCCTTATATTGTCATTGTACGTGTACAACAAAACTTTGGGATAAGTCGATAACGAATGTTTGGATAAGTCACCCCTTTGGATTTTGTTAAGGCGTAAAGTTAAGGATGTGGCCATTATGGCTAACAGGATGGTGCAGACACAAGCACTCGTAGCTGCTAGCCCTGCTCGGCTTCACCTACGCTAATTCAAATCACTGAAGTGGACCTCTAGAACAGCTTTGTGCTGTTGGCACGTCTTGGAGCATTTTAATGGAATTATCTGCTGTGCAGTTAATTACACTAACAGACTGTCCCAGAAGTCTGTACTTCAGTTTTGGTGAGTTTGTTGCTCATAGCAATACTTAGTTTATGGTTAGGTCCATGGATGCACCTCAATAACATTAAATAATTAAGATGACCTGATTACTCACATATTTTATCTTTTAGTTAGCGCTCATTAGCAGGTATCTGTGCCAGTGTTCTGAGCATGTGGCATCTTCCCTACCTGGGCCCTTAACACTGTTACACAGGTTTTCAGAGAGTTCGTCAACAATGTCCAGCAGGAACTTGAAGTCGTTGACGTTGTACATGTGAATGTCATCTGGGTCAGAGGCGATGGACCTCAGCTCATTCTCATCAGCGTTTTTTACACCTGTGAGAAAAATAAACCATGAGTTTGATGAAGGAAGATGACTAAAGTGGCTGCTGGTTGATCATTTTCAGCCCATTCTAGTAAAGTTAGGTACTGCTTCGCTGCATGCAGGTAGCAATCATCTAAAAGTTCAAACGTGTTTTAATTTCCTTTTCTTTAAACCAGTGAAGATCACTCACCAATAGCATAGAGCTCGATGTCGCTGTCTCTCAGGTTCTGTGAATTTACGATGACTTCATCCTGGGATTTTCCGTCAGTGATCAGGACGCCTATTTTGCGGGAGTCTGGACGCAACCCCACGTTGGGTTTGAAGTTGTTCTGAAGGATGAAGTTCAGAGCCATTCCTGTACGACAGTGAGGAAGAAGTTTCAGTTATGTGTGCAGATCACAAAGCACTGCATGCTGCTTTTCTGTTGTTTAACCCCTCTGAAACTAACCTGACCCATCAGAAAGCTTACAGCTGGATTATGTGATACTGAATATGTCCATTATCAGAGACAGGAATCGAGAACTGGTTCTATCGAACGACCCCACTTATCCGTTCCTCTTGCACACATGCCACAGTTAGCTGATTTCAGTTCACGTGTCAGAGGTGGAAAACAGTGCCACAGTCTAAGAGCGTTGATATGGACATTACTTTTATTTTCACTGGACAAAAGGACAAGAGTGTGATGGTAAAATGGAGACTGCATCTAGGACAAACAGCTGTTAAATTATGCTGCTAACACAACTTCGACTCTTTGCAAGCATCTGCACAGACAGCATGCTAACACTAAGCTAGCCAAGAACTCAGAGTGGAAGCTGAGTGAATTCTGACCCCAACTCAGCAGGCAGATGCTGAACTTCAACAGGTAACAAACTGATGAGCAGCCTTTCTACCTATTCACTGTAATCGCTTTAAAGTTAAACCCCTCATTAATCTATGTGTCTGTCGATGAGTGGTAGGTTTGGATTCCCATGGAAGACCATCATCTTATAGTAGATCAGCTTTTCCTTCCAGCTGTTCAATGCTAAGCTCAGCTTCTGCTCCCAGTGTTTTGTCACTATTAACTTGTACTACTTCTGCTTATATCTTCTCGGAGCTCCTTCTCCTTCAACTGATACAACTGAGTAATAAAATAAAAGTCTTGTTGAATTATTACCGTCTATGCTTAGTGTGTCTCGCCTCGCTCTCACGCTCCATGCTGCATCTTATTAACTTTGTGTCTACTCTCTCCGGTAGTTTGTCCATTGTCTTCCTCACACCTGTCTGAAGTTTCTTCCTTTTAAAAGTGAGCTTATCGTTCTCCACTGTGGCTGAGTCTCACACCAAGGCTTTGGCCCCAGTATATAAAGTGCTTTGAAATTATACTTTATACTTTGTATACGTTGTGATTTGCCACAGTATATAAAAATTAATCAAATTTGTCTCCCACACTGGCACCCAGGTCAGTGAGAGCTGGGCCAAAGTACTAAAAAAAAAATCACCTGTCATGGTGTTTCCTCCTTTATATGGCAGGTTGGCAACAGCATTCATCAGGGATTCTTTGGTGGGGTGGGCGTTCAGGTGCCATTCAGTCTTTGGGTCACCGCTGTACTGAGCCAGACCTGCAGAAAATACAACACTAAGGATACAGCAACTCTGATTTGGTGTAAAACAGCTTATTTCAGATACAGGATGGGGTTAGATTGAACTGTTACTCACACAAAGCTACTCTTGTAAATTCCCAAAATTAAAATATGGATCTAGAAATGAGCACAATATCTTCCATTGAGGTTTAAAGATACCATTAAGGGAGGTTAAGGTTAGGCGAATACCAAGAGACACCTGTCTGAAGGAAAACAACCCTCCATGTGACTCATGTCGTTATAGTAACAATAGTGAAAGCTTTACCAATCTGGACTCTTTCTGGGCCGATGTCAAACACGCTGACCATGCGACCAATGAAGCTGCGGATGGTTTTGAAGTTAATGCGTCCAATGCTCCAGGAGCCGTCGACCAGCAGCACGATGTCGGCCTTCGCTGTGGTCTTACACTGAGCGTCTGTAGAAACGGTGGTGTTGGGAGGAGAGGAGGTTAGTCAGACACCTGGTACACAACAGATACCAACCACAAGTGTCTGTTTAGTCTTACTGTGCGAGAGAAAAGTGTGAAAGAGTGAGAGGAAATACATCAGGAGGAAAGAGGAGTAAGCAGTACATCACGAAAACTCTCACAATCACAAGATGCTTAGACAACAGATTTACATTATGTAACACAAATAATTCACACGTTGTGTAACAGCTGTCAGTGCAGAATTAAGAGCTCTCTTCATGGTCTTTTTTTCTCTCTGTGTCTTTCTTCCAGCACAGCAAGACACTCTGGGTGTTTTGTGCTGCTGTAGTCTCGGCAGCGATTAGCCTCTCCCATACTGTGATCTACGAGGCCTCCTGCTCCCTGAAGTTACTGCGCATTCCTGCTCCAGCCACCTGTAGGGGGTGAAAAATGGCTGCTCGTCCATGTTTTTAGGACGACACGCCCAGCAGTTAAAAACAGGGTGCCTGTGTGTGTGATTAAAAAGATGAGAGGAGACGAGCAACTTCATTTCTTAGCTCTTTTAGCAGGCAGCAGAAACAGATGCTTGATGCTCGAGTTGGATGCTTGGCCGCGGTCTGTCTGAGTTATACCACCGCCAGTAAACCACGCGCTCATGTCCCGGTGCCGTTTATTAATAAAAACAGATGTCATAAACAGAGGCAGCTTTCATAGGTTTCTAATAAGCTGCAGACGACTGTTGGAATCAGTGTCTCTGAGGAGGAGCAAATGAAAATTCAGCCCAGTGTGGCTGTGTCCTGCCGAAACCTGTAGCAGCTCCGAATTGTTGTTGCTTTTGTGTCTAAGCTTCAGTTGAAGGAACCGTGTGGTGTCACTATAAACAAGATGCCTGAAAGTTTCAGAAAATACAAATAACTATTTCTGGAGTTGAGATTATTTGCATAAAAGATGCTGTTTGTTTACAAGTAAACAACAGTAACATGAGTCTGAACCTGTATATCTCCACTAAGGCTGCGCAGCATGCATGAGTTGAGATCCTTCCAAATTACTTTGAAATGTTTTCTTCAGATTTACATGATGACTCGAAATTGTTCTTGGTTCAATCTGATACATTTTTGTGATGACAAAACTTCCAGTTGTTGCTCCAGTTGTTGTAATTTCGACTGTAATCCTGCTATTAAACAGGCAACTCGTCCAGAATTGACAGAAAACCTGCCCTTTTATGTTTGCGATGACACACACTTCACCCTCACTTTTTCTCTCACTCTCCTTTGTGGATGCAATTAGCATTGAAGGTTAACGTTTCCATTCGACAAATCCTGAAAAGATGCTTGGAATCACGTTTTCTCGCTTCAATGTCAGATTTTTCCAGTTTTGTGTAAAGAGCAAAATTGAAAAAGGATTAAATTTAATGGACAGTAAAAAATAATGTTTCTGCAGCATATTAAGGACGCATTAAAGCGTCCTTAATAAGCTCTGCCAGACCATATGGACCTGTCAAAAACACTGAATTAAAGCCTGCTCTGTTAGAGCTGCAGTTCAGTAAGCAAGGATCTTGGAGTGGCCTGGCGCGTTCCCTGCTCGGTGGGCAGTCGGTCACCGTGTCTGCTCCGCATTACAGCAGGAATTTCTGCTGCGGATCAGCACCTCCTCGGGGTCTGATGGGAAGCATAACATTTTCCTAGCTGCATACATCCCTCCAGCATCGAACCCTCTGGATCATAAAAAAGTCTAACTGCAAACAGAGATCTTTGAGACACCTTAATGGGAAATATCTACTTTTGCATGACTAAAGACACATTTGGTCAGCAGGTCCTGAGCTCAGTAGTTATCTGTGGGAGCTAATGAAGATATATGCTTATGGCAATGCCATTAAAGCTCAGTGCTTGCAGCATGTGAGGGGGTCATTTGTGCAGTTCATATATATATTCATGTCAACACCTGATCGCATGTAACTCTGCTCTACATTACACTCCTACTAACAGTAGGGAGGTGAGAAAATGTGAGCCAAGCATCTCTAAATAATTTCAACGAATCGTAATCATCTGTGCCGAGTTTCAGTCCCACAGCGACAGAGATTTCAATTCCCTGTGATAATATATAAATCAACGTTTTGGCACTAATCTGAGCGACACTTTGACATCAGAGATCAGAGAACGTCTGCCCTGCAGGCCTGCTAACGAGCGCAGAGAGAAGTTTGTTGTCGGCTTTTACCAGAAAGAGTGACATTAGGAGATTCGGGTTCATCCTTGAGAGTCGTCTTTTCCTCTCCTGCAAGAGGCAAACTCTCTCCTCCATCAAACATCCCAAACACAGCGACAGAGTACTTTGTTCCTGATCTGAGGATAAAGGGGGAAAGAGACAAACCGCTAAAATCATCAGCATTGCTGCTTCCCTCAGTTCTAAGCAATTTTGTACAGCATAAACAATCAGATGACATCATAGCTGGTGGAGGGTGTGCTGAAACCTAAATGTTTGACTGCAGTCAGATTCGCAGCACTGATTCAAGAATAAATGTTAGTTTGAAAGCATAACAAAGCTTTATTTGATTTATTAAGGGTTGAATTCCAAACTAAGATGTAACTTTACCCCTCGAATTTCAAATTAAGAGATTCCCTTTGAAGGAGTTTTCTCTAAAAACAATGTGTTTGTGTTCTGTGTTACTCAGACAATGCTAATAGCTAGATTTGGGAGGTTTTACCTGCCTGCTGTGATCAGAATATAATTTGAAATCACTGCACACAATGTAGACTACAAAAGTTTCTTTTTGGAAAAGCTTTACAGCTTTTGCTACTATGCATCAACCTTGTACCATGTATTCAGCTAGCTAAGCTGCTACCTAAACATTAGCACTGTTTATGTGTTTAACACATATACATAAAGTCTAAGCACAGAAAAACAACTTCCCCACATCAAAATGAATGATTTTTGTGTAAACATTTACATTTCTATTAGTCTTTGTGCAATCATGCTGTAATAATTCAATTCCATTTAATTTTATTTATATAGCACCAAATCACAACAACAGTCGTCTCAAGGCGCTTTATATTGTAAGGTAGTAATATAGAAGAATACTGTAAAAAAAGGTCCTGTACTGTATCCAGGTCCCTACAGCCTTCCAATAGGAACGCATAACCCTAATCTGTATTTTCATAGCAAGTTGTTAGAATCAATATCTAACATGTATCTCTTATCTTTAACCACATTAAATATTTTTTTCACCACAGCAGATGATCTGCCTCCATCTCCAACCCTCTGCATGTTCTCCATAAAACTTGTCTTCCTCTTTTCATCCTTTCATCTCTACCATACAAAGAAATATTCATAAGTTAATAGACATACTGCTGTCTTCTCTGGGCCGAAGCTCATTTAAAATAGAAAGAAACAAAGAGGAAAACTTTTCTGTGGTCAGACGAATGAGAATTGGAAATCTTTTGGAAAACATGGACACCGTATTCTCCAGACTTAAGAGGAAAGAGAGCATCTGGCATGCAGTCCAAAAACCTGCATTTGAGCAGCTAGAATCCTCTATCAGACAACAATGGGACAACAATCCTCTCCCAGACATTCAGTAGCGGCTCTCGTCAGTTCGCAGATATTTAACTGCAACTTTTCCTGATACTGCTGGGTCAAACTACTTTTCTGGACCAAATCCTATTGTTGACAAGTTATAGAATTTATGAGTTATCATAGTGTCCATTTAAGCCTTTTCCTGTTGACTGTCTTCTATATTTGTTGTTTCCTTTTAAATGAAATCTTCTGTGTATGCCATAAAATAACTCTGAAAGCTTACCTGAGTTCCTCTAGAACAACTGTGTTATCGTAGGGGCCAACAAGGAGCTCCTCAAGGTCAATATCATTCCCTGTGGGGTGAAAGGTGACTTTGTAGCCCCTGACATCCCCAGGTGCTGGATCCCAGGACACTCTGAAACTGGTCCTGGTGGGCTCTGAGGTCTGAAGGTTCCTGGGACTCTTGTACGGTGACACTGAAATAGAAGAAATCAGCAGGAAATTCAGGACAAACTCACCTAGAACTAAACTCGACACAACTCCAACTCTTGGTGAAGGTTTTTAAGGATCAGCCACGCCACATTCAAGCCAGTTTCTCATTAGTCCATAATACAATTCCTTGAACCCCGTGTCGACCGTTAGGAAGCCCAGTGTCATGCTGTGTATTAGTAATGCTAGCGTGTGATTGAGCACGTGTTTATCTGTGATTTTAGTGTTCTCGTGAGGAGGTGCTGCAGCACCTGTGGTGTGAAAAATACTCCTCTTAACAAGTAGTTTAAACTTGAAGTCAGTCCATGAAATATTTGGTGGGAAAATGAGAAAAAAATCCGCTACTTGGAACAAAGAAACATATTTTTTTCCAACGCACTGTGACTTGGTGTGAGGTTTCTCTGAAAAAATGTGAATAAATCTTTAAATATACCAGGTTTATCCGCTGCCTGGAAAATACAGACAATTCTTCAATCTTAAGTACTGAGGATTAAACCCTGGAGGCTACACATCCTCACACATCCTTAGAGTGGGCCTCAAATTTACTTTTTCTCATTATGTAAAAGCTCCTTTAAAATTAGAGCAATATAACATGAAAACTTTCTTACAGGAGTATTTTTTCTTATAAAAAATGACTTTAAATGAGTGACTATGTGCCCATTGGATCCAGCACCTGAGCTAAACTCATCTGATCTCAGTAGACTTGAACTTTACTAACTATGGATAAGCAGGGCTACTACATTTTAAGTGTAATATAAGAGGCCACTCAGCAGCAGATTTTTTAATTGTTCAGTTCCAGCAGCGATCATATTTTTAGACCGAGCACAGGTATAAACGTCTTGGCTAAGATGGACATGTTTCTGCAGTGTGCTGTCTCTCAGAGGGTTGAATCATGGACCAACGTACGTGTCGTTCCTACTCCTTGCCTTGCTTTTCCTTCCCTGCGCTTGTAGATGGGCAGAACGGTGACATTGTATGTGGTCGCGGGCTTTAGATTCTTCATGATGGTAGAAGTGGCCTTCGCAGGGATTTTCTGGACCACTTCTTTGCCTCCATTGTGGGGAACGTACTTCAGCCGGTAGTTGAGCAACTTGCCCGGCGCCGGCGTCCACGTGACTCTCATGGTTTTCTCTGTCTCGTCTGACACTCTCAGTCTTTTCCCATCAGCAGAGGCTGAAAACATAGAATGCACTTTTAATGCTGCAACAGCATAATTCAGTATTGTTAAAGAGAAAGTAGTTGTACCAGTTCCCCTTTAAATTGTTCCTGGGGAAACCTAAACAAAGTATATTTGACTTATCCAGGGTTTGTTTTAAAGTAGAAACTTGCAGGGCTGAAAAATGCTCAAATCTGCAGTTCCCCCGATGCCCACTTGGGGCTGGCTCCAAAAACAAGTCAGTCCCCACAGACTCCCATGTTAAAATCTCCAACAGCTGAAATAAACACATTTACAGCCTGCTCCAAAAACAGTTTTGGCCTCTAAAGCTCATTTCTCTCTTTATGACACACGTATGGAAGAAGATTATTTTTTCTTTACTTGCCCCGTTTCTATTTTATTGACGTTTAAAGTTGAGCAAAATGGTAAATGGCTTATGGTTATGGTATCACTGCCTTTTGGAACAAATTTAATGCATAATCACAAATATTGTGGCTTATTGTGGCATTAACTGAACTAACAGCCCTTCTACTAAGTCTATGCTTTAGTTTTGTTTAAGTGAAATTCTTGTGTTTCTAGTGTTTTATTCGTGCTACTTAGCAATAATTAGTTTAAGTCTATGGACACAGCTTCACTCCACCATCTCCTCTAAACACGGTCCCTTCTGGCTTCATAAAAACTCAGCTGGTAATGCCATTATGTTAAAATCAAGGGTTCAAAATAGATCCTACAAATTAGCGGGTGACATCAATGTGAGTTTGTCCACCTCGATGTCAATATTTTTAGACTCAGGCCTTTTTATCCAGGAAGTCTCTGCACGGAGCCAGGCTCTGTTTTAAAGGCTGCCAATCACAGCACACACACTGAAAAGGCAATCCCATATCATGTTTTTAATTAATTATTTCATTTGATTTGTCATGCACCTTAGTTATTTCTGCTTTCTCCTTACTTTACGTTCCCACTATTATCTTTCCCAGTGTTCATTCCTCGCCTCTTGCGTGTGATCTTTGACCTCTGCTGTTGCCAAACTGCTTGTAAGTCTGTGTGCTTTCTTTATTTTTGGAACGCTGGATAGTTTCTGCTCTTTGTCTTACTGCCTGTCCTCAGTCTGCACCAGCTGTTCCTCGGAGTCCGACCTCTGTTCTATTTACTAAAACCTGGATTCAGGATTTTTACCTGGTAGAGATTTTGTCCTGTTAAAATTGAATTTAATAGAATCTGATAAAATTAAATTTACTTGATTGGTATACATTCACTTTATACCAAGCATATTTTCCTTAATGATTAATTATTAAATTAACCTATGATTTTATACATTTTAGCTTCATTTTACTCACAATTATTGGGTGAAGGATCATTGTTTGAGTCTGTATAGCTAAAATTGTGATCTCAGCTGGACTTCCCACCAGGCTTGTTTCAGAAACCAGACCCAGCTTGATATAAATAATAATGCACAGCCACTCCAGCAGAGTGCAAAAAATAAAAACCAGACGTGAGAAGCATAGGTTCACTTTCAGCCTAAAGCTCTTTTCATGTAATGTACTTTTTGCCACATTTCATGTCCTTCAAAAACACTCAGCATTGCTGCCATAAAGCTCACTCAATATTTCTTTATCTGAACCATTCTAGCAATCATCTCTTCTTTCGGCCACGTGAGGTATCCCTCTGTATTCCCTCAGTCGTCGTTAGCATTCATAACTGCGGGCCTAAATGTTGAGTAATACCATCAGCTACCTGCCAGATGTAATTGGCTGTAAATTAGGCTTTCACCCAGAAGTGATCGGTTGGGAGGAAATGGTAACCACATTTTCCTTTTTGCTCCGAAACAACAGAGAAGCCCTGTGAATTAAAATTAAGTCATTCTGACAATACTGCGAGCGATTGCAAAAACTCTGTGAGGAAATAATATGTATATTTAATGATCCCGGGGAAAGTTTTTCAAACTACTTGATTTCACTCTGGAGGATTTTTATAGGTGGAAAAAAATACTGAATCCAACTTCTCCGTGTGTTGATGGATTTAAACAAATCTAAAGCAGGAGATTCAAATTTTCTGCTGGAAAGATGCAGAGGGAGAACATGAAGTAAGATGCGATAGTTTATCTGTGCCTTCTTTGTTTCGGGTGGCCCGTGTGTGTGTGTATGTGTTTAATTTCCCATGTGTGCAAATGAAATGAGGGACGCGTTGACATTTTTAGAGAGTGCCTCAACTCGGACACAATAAGTGAGCGTGCAGTTCACAGGGCACCCACGCTGTAGTCGTGTTATTGCTGAGAATGCAGCACAAGCAAAGCTGTCACCGCGCTGTAGCTTCGCTTTAAATCTCGGCCTAAAAATAATCTACACTGAAAATTTTAATTTAAATTTGGACGGCTTTCACCAACCAGGAACCAGAAACCCGTTGGAGACTGCCAACTGTATGATTATGTAAGAAATAGATTTTGTTTTTCCTGACAAAAGGAAGCATTGAATCTGTTTTGGCTCACGTTCACTTGCAATCAGAACAGCGAGTTTCAGCCAAATGTCTGAGAATAGTGAGGACGTCCTTGACTTCCCCTCTGAGGGTTAAAAACACGGGTTCGTGGCCTGAACGCTGCCTTTTAAACATCTGGACCGATGCTAACCAGATGATCTCAGAGTAACTAATCACTGTGATCTCAAGCAAGGCACTTTAACGCCCAAATAAAGATTATTTATTATTCAAAGACAGGAGGATACACAGGTGAGGGTAAATTTCAGGTGATAAGAACTGATCTCAAAATCAGATCTGCTTCTGCCAGAGAGAAGAAAAGTTTCTGGAGTCCTTTTTAAAAATGTATAAATTGTTAAACACGACTGCTATCCCCAAGCAGCCCTCATGTTGCGCAAAGATGACTTTTTTGGCACCAAATAAAACATGAACTACATCTGAAGTAACTCATTACTCACCTTATTATACAGACTACCCTAAATAGTGAGTGTGCCATTGTAGTCTTCACCCTATATATGTTTAGAGTTTAGCTTTACTCTAAACAGTTCACTTAAAGTATCCCACAACGTACTAGGAAAAGTAATGAAGTCCAGCTGATGGTCACTGCCCAAGAGGCAGACACACTGTGATGTGCCAAAAGCTGCTGATCTTGTTTACCATGACCTTTATGGTAATTTCATAACTTATTAAATCAAGTCATTTATTCTTGAACTCTATTCAAACATTTGACACGTCTGGCTGCTTTTGTTGCACAAAATGTTTTACAGGGAAAACAATGGTCTGAAGCGTTTTCCCAGTATTTCCCAGCCCCGTATTTGTTTAGTGTGACATGGGTTAGGGTGAGGTGTTAGGGTGGACTCAACATGAAAACACTTGGAGGGTTAATGTGTGTTAACAGAATATTGGACTGGGGAACTTGGGCCCAAAGATGCTCTAACCCAGAAAGAAGACACGTTACAAGCTGCACTAATGATCTTTTCTTTTCATCACTCTGCTGCCAGATTTTGTGAGTATGTGCCGCTGACAAACAGACAGCTCCAGGGAAAAAAGCTGACCCCCAAAAAATGCCTTTTGTATGTTTGTGGCTTGTAACAGAAGGGCCAAATATTTACTTGTGTGACTGCAGGAAGTGAAGCTGCAATCATCAAGACATAAAGCTCATGTGCCAATAACTGCAGTTCCTCTAATGTCCACTTGAGGCTACCGCAGTTACCTTTGTTCTGTATGGGTTATTTCCTTCTTTAGAGCAGACGTGTAAGCTGTGAGTTTGGAAACTGTCAAGGCTTTTATAGTATAGTTATAAGTTCAGGAGTCAAAATTCAAAGAAACTAGAATCCAACAGGTAGTCTCACTTTGCTGCATCCACCTTTTATGTACATAATATGCTCAAGTCCCACCTCTAGCCCCAAGTGGGCCAACGCCCCCCTCGCAACTAAGATTAAAGGTTTAATTATCACCAAGATTTGCTTTTGTTAGTTTTTCTGAGAAGCTGTAACTGACGACATGTTCATCGGCACCAGAGGTGTCAGTGGAGTTAAGCTAATCATCTGGCTGTTTTCCTTCCAGAATCACATACACCAGTGTCAAATGGAAATAAGAGAATATATTGACTCTTATATAAAGTGCTGTTTCACAGAGATGGTTGGGACGGTATGATATGCGCTCTCCTAAAGCTTTTCGTGGTCTTCTCTGAGTGGGACGCTTTCAAATCACACTCTGGTCGCTACCTAATGTCAGATGTCAGACCATCTTGGCGTCAGTAGAAAGGGCACTGCTGACTGTAGGTCCCACCTTCCTATTAAAAGTTGGGTAACACCATGATGTTCAGGCAAGGCCACAGCACTTATGTCCAGCACTCTATCAAGACTTATTCCACCATGACAAGTGAGACCACACGGGAAGGTTTGCTTTCTCTTTGCTAACGGTTGGTCCAATCTGTGATCTGGTTTTTGTTTTGAGAGTCAGATCAAATAGAAACATATGTTTGCTCACGGTTAACATTTATTTTGTCTGTTCTTTCACAAATACTTCCTGTAACTGTCATTGATTATATATGAATTTGTTTATTTTTTCAGCTTTCATCCTTTGGTGCATGCATGCATTTTCTCTTACTGCTAAAGATGAAAGACTGAAGAGTTTATTAAGTCTTACCATCTGTGATTTCTGATCCCGTGACTGGCTCGCTCTCTTTGTGGTGGTAGGCAGCGACCACAGAGACTTGGTAAAGTGTCTCTGGAGTCAGACCTTCCAGCACGGTGCTGGTTTCATCTCCTGGCACCGTTTTTTCTTGGATCTCCTGGGAAAACATTGACTTCCACTGAACACGATACGTATTCACATTCCCAGGCGCCGCTGTCCAAGACGCCACGAAGCTGGTGTCAGTTACATCGCTGGTGACCAGGTTTTTAGGAGGACCCCCCTCTGGAAATAACAGTTAAGCAGAGAATTAATCAAAGGAACGTAACACAATAACTTATACTGTGTATAAAATATAAATGGCGACGTAATGTTGATTCCACAGTTTTAGTTTTTGACACCATAGCTGTTAAATTTCCTCTCAAATCACAGCAGATGTTTTCAGACTAGACTGTGAGCATTTTTTATACTGTACAGTCACATTGGCAGACATGTTTTAATGTTCTTTCCAGTATTTGTGACTTCTTTTATTTAAAACCATCCTGCCTTTTAAACAAAGGGACCATACTGGACGTGCTGCCAGATCAAATTATTTTTCAAAATGGAAACTATTAAAAGGCAATCGAGTGGACCGATCACCACAGCCATAAAGGCCTGAGAGGACGGCATAAACATATGTGAAGAGCTGTCCGGTGCTTTTTGTTCATATTTTGGGGATATTTTGAGATTTTTCGGCATCATTAGTGAGTACAGAGCATTGGATAGGGGAAAGAAGAAAGACATAAAACATGTCGGGAACCGCATGAACTCAAAGCGTCCAAGCACCAACAGGAAATCTTTTTAATGTAGTTCACTGGATGTCTTTGCTTCATCAAATCATCACTATAGTCCTCCTTTTATTGGAAGATCTTCTGCTGGACGCTTTGATATCTCACTTTTTTCAGCTTTTTGCTGGCTACTCTAGAGTTAATGGTTCGTGAATGTCTCTCTTGTGGGTTTTATGAACCTTTAGAACAATTTATCAAACAGAAAAATTCCTTTTTCACTCCATATTTTGCCTTGTTCCCATGTGTAACATATGTTATTAATATTTCTAGCCCTCTCCGACTTTATTAGATTTCTATTAATTATTACGTATTGGATATAAATCAATTACATTATATTTTTGGAAGCCTTTAAACATCAGATCCAGATGAAAATCAACACTTCTGATTAACGCTGGCACATTCACAGTTCCTTTTCCTCTGTTGATCATTGACCACTGTTTATGTCCTGAAGGTGAGTTCAATATTATTTTTAGCAATAAAATTAATCAACCAATAAAGGGAAATTTTTCAGTAATTAAAGCTGTCCAAATTCTGCTTTGCTTGTGGAACTGTGGAACATTACAAGCATAGTTTTAATTACTGGATACCTGGAGATTTGTTGCGGATACTCATCTGTATCTGAATGGACTAACTTGAATGTGCAAATGTGTCAGAGATAACACAACAGTTTCAGGGTTTTTCCAGATTTTTGTTCTTGGACTCTCCTGGAGGGGCTTTGCGTCAGTCATGTTTCAAAGTTAACCTTAATTATCTGTCAAAATGTTTTAGCCCCTCCCCCACTAAGCCCCATTTTTCTTTACTGGCTGCCCTTCACAAACAGAAGGTTTGAACAGCAAATGGGTGTGGCTTATTGCCAGAGGACTGTGAATGAGACGACCAAAATAAAACACGTGTGAGTGAATATGTCTGCAGTGAGTTTTTACAGAGATCATTTAAAGAGGTTATAAGACACCAGTTCTGTCCTAAAACTATGAAAAAGGCAGATAAATAAACATAAATGGAGGTTTATAGAGTTACGTTAACCTTTAACTCAGTTTGCATTGTCACACTAAGCATCGTTGTCCTTACATCGTGGCAGATGGCTTCCCCTCCCTGAGCCTTGTTCGTCCTGTTAAAGGGGAGTTTTTCCTTCCCACATGCTTCTGTGCTTCTGATTGTTGGAGATATCTCTGTGTTATTGTAGGTCTTTACTTTACATTATAAAGGACCTTGAGGCAACTTTTGCTGTGATGTTGCACTATACAAATAAAACTGTCTTTCTTCCCCACTCCCCCTGCTGACCTATGCATAACTGGGCCCATGCATGCTTTCGTCTCAGCTTGACTCTCTCACACCCTCTCTGTTTTACACTAATTTGCTCATAAAAAAAGCGCTCTTGCACTGTGCAGTGAGGTTCATTGTTTTATAGGATTTCCAAAGAGGCAGCAGTCACTGAGGAAACGCTGGATTCCATGTGTGGGCGAGGTCAGCGATCAGAATATTTGCGTACCATGTCTGAGTTCGACTGACGAGCACCTCTTCAACCAACCCAGGGCAAGGCATAGACTGATCCCACCAGTTAAACAAACTGAACTTTAGGGATCAAGTATGCTGTGGCATAAACTCAGTGCTGGTAGAAGTGACATGGACTGTAAAACTGGTTCATGTTAAAGTTTTCAGATGTTTTAGGACCTTAACTCAACTTCCTGACAGGTTCAGTCACACACAATATACACACGGATATACACAAACCCCAAAAATCTACTTTGTGTTGCCTCTCACTGTTGGGTTGCCTGACTCGTGCTGCCTCTTGCTGACATACAATCTCCTCTTCTTCCATCATTCACAAATATTTCCAGCAATCTGCTGTGTCCGGATAGGAAAGTGAAAGAGGGAGGGCCAATATTAAATTATAGCTCTTCGTCTGTGGCGATGAAGTTTCCACAACAGGATAATTATCACCAAATATTAAATCCAGCTATATAATCAGCGCAATGAGCGTGAAATAAATCACATTCAAGCTTTTTTGCCAGTCGATACAGATCTCTGGAGAGAAGGGAGGGAAAAAAAGGAAAACTCCGTGCTCAACAAATATTTACAGTAGGAAAAATTGTTTCTGATCTCTATTCAAAAGAAGAAAACAATTCAGAATACATATTTTTACATCTAATGCTCAAAACGTGCATGTGCAAACTCAAAATAATTAGAAAACATGAGAAATAACTCAAATTAAAAGGGAGCCTGGATGTTATTGAGAGGCAAAATGATGGCGGAAATATAATTTTTATCGTCTTTTTAAATGTGCAAAACATGTGGCCAAACAGAAAGACAAGCTCTATTAGTGAATTAAGTCACTAACAAGTTCTCAGGCATGTCAGGACAAACAATTTAACAAGACTGAACCAGCAGATTGTTCTGTGCTCACAGCAGCATGGGAAAGATGTACAAGGTACAGATTACCCAAATTAAGGCTTTTATTTTGACAGTCTGCATCTTATTTCAATCAATTTTTATTTCTGAGAAGAAAAAGGTTCTTCTGTCACTACAAAGCTTAATTTTCAATCCTCTGTGTTTTGAAGGTTCACTTTTGGAGAATCTTCAAGAATGTGAAATGTGCCGATGGAATTCAGGAAAAACTGTCAAGCGTGTACTTCTTAGTTTATTTTTAACTGTCACTGGTGCTCAGCTTCAGTCACCCCATTTTCACTGCACTGCACCTCTGCCATCAGCAGGAAGCTACCAATGCTGCCATTTGTTTTATCTTCCCGGAGGAGCTCTGGCTCGAAAAATTGGAAAATAACAGCCGTCACATGGAGTGTGGAATATCTGGACACTCTCAGACATCTTTTTCCACAGTCCATCAAAGTAAATCGGAATAAAACCACAGAAATTAAAGACAGTATTGCTGATTTCTACCACTGTCTATCTATAAACTATCTACAAATCAAAGTCAAGCTGCTTTCAGCTTTTTTCAGGGAAGTTCAGAGTTTGGGGCTAGTTTGGCTAGCACCTTCGTCACTCATAGCGTGAACAGAAATAGCACCTGAAGGCCATGTGACTGAGGTGGGTCTGAGGTCCTCTCAGGTCTGGCCTCTTTGTGCTGTGTCTGGGACTGCAGTCACAGTGGAAAGTCTCTGGGATCGCTGCCTTGTATAAACTTGGCTATTTGACATGTTCCACTGCAAAGTGTGCAGAGTCACTGCAGTTTCATCAGGGCAGCCTAGGTGGAGATAAAAACTTCACTCTGGTGGTGTTGCTGGTGCTGCTTCATATCACAAGAAAAAGTCTGTCTAGCTCACTGAATAAGAGAGGAACTGCCCTGAAATTAAGTTTCCACTCCGAGTGACTGGGTTCACATTAAAGGGCCCGTGGTGTCACATGGCGTGTACATAAAGCTGATTCAAAACACCACAAAGAGAGTAACTGACAGGGAGGTCATATTTCTCCAATATTAGCTTCTCTCTATTGACTCTCTGTTAAATCCTGGATCTAATTTAACCCTGCAGGGTCCAAGCCACTTTTTTTTTTCTTTTTTTGGAGCAAAGACTGTGAAAAGACCTGGTGTGTTTTTGACAGACTATAAAAGAAAAGATTACAGCTGCACTGAGGATATCTGCAGATCACTAAAAGACAAAAGTAAGTTTTGGAAATCTTAAAATGAGAATGTGATCATGCCTCATCATCACTGAATTCATTCAGTTTCAAAATCTGACACAAATGTATTTCTTATTTTGCTTTTTAAAACGTATCCCCCTTTGTATTTTCTCATTATTTACATTTACATTCCCATTCCCATTCCCATTTCAATTTCAATTTGCTATTTATTGATTTCCCCCTTTTAAAAATTAATTTATCTGTATGTTTATTTATTGTCACAGTAGTCTGTCTGGGAACTAGTGTGTTGTGTTTTTGATTCGTTATATATTTGGATTTGTTGGTTTTTATGGTTTTGATTCTCATTATTGTTTTCTGCTTATGTTATATTCTTAGTTCTAGTCCTTAGGTTTGTGTTACCTTGCCTTCCCATGCTCCACATCTCATGTTTAGTTACTTTTGTCTCTGTGCTCCATGTTCGCTCTGTCTTCCCTGTCAGCCGTGTCTCCTTGTCAAGTCTGCGTCTCTGTGCCTGTCTTGTATTTCCTGTTATACTTTGACAGTCTCCTGTGTCCTGTGTTTTCAGTTTTGCTTCCTCCCCGTCTTGTTATGTCAGATTAGTCCCAGCTGTGGCTCCCTCCTGTTTCTCATCCCCTTGTTACCCCCTGGTGTATTTAAGCCCTGTGTTTTCCTGTGTGCTGTGCATGTTTTGCTGAGCTCCTTGGTACCCAGGTTACTTCTGAGTTTTTTTCTTAGCTTCTAGTTTTTAGGTTTTCTTTTCCTTTCCTGTTTGTATTATATGGGTTTGTTGGCACAGCATTAAAGCTGCCTTCCTGAGTTCACGCCTTAGTTTCTCGTGAGTGCTGCATTTGTGTCCTTCATCCT